GGGGATGGGTAAGGTTGAAGCTTTCCAAAGAGCAACCAAGCAAACAAAAACCCACCCCAACAGTGATCCCATCCTGATTTCTGATTTCTAAACTTATGATTCTGATGTCATTTTACATAAGGCACCCCTGAGATTTGAGCGAACTCAACCGGTTGGCAAACTCAGCCATTGAGAGAGGTTGGGCAGGATATTCCTTGGATGGTTTGAGCAAGGGAAGGAGTGTGTGTGTGTGGGGGGGCAGCTCAAAATTGAAAGACTCTCTAAGGCACATAATCATGTGGAGCAACATTTGGCATTTGATAGCACCCTAGGTGTTCAAGCAAATGTTATGCAGCTGATTATGTTAATTAAAACATGCAGATTAGATGCTGTGTTCCAGTTTATGACACATTGCAGGCTTGACTAGCTGGCCACCTTTCAGGTACCACCTATGCTAATTCCACTTGCTATGACGCCCGCCAGCGTTTTTAAACAGGCAAGTAGTGCATGGCCAAAAAGATATAAAATCTAAACTTAAGGCTTCATTCTTTCTGCATCAGCTTTCATCAAAATGGACCCTGAATTGCCTGTGGCTGGTGTTTGGAGTGCTCCCCCCCCCCTTTTTATCCTTTTCAGATCCAACTTCTGCTAGCACTTAGAAAGTAACTTTAAAAGTAATTATAAATCTAGTTTTTAAAGCCCATTGGAAAGTAGTGTCACCACCATACTTACATTTTAAAAGCAACCCTTTATTTTCCTGTTCCCGAAGAGTAACCCAAACAAGTGCTTTCTAGGTAAAGGTAAAGGTAAAGGTTCCCCTTGACAATTTTTGTCCAGTCGTGTTCGACTCTAGGGGGCGGTGCTCATTCCCGTTTCCAAGTCATAGAGCCAGCGTTTTGTCCGAAGACAATCTGCCGTGGTCACATGGCCAGTGCGACTTAGACACGGAACGCTGTTACCTTCCCATCAAGGTGGCCCCTATTTATCTACTTCCATTTGCATGCTTTCGAACCACTAAGTTGGCAGGAACTGGGACAAGCGATGGGCGCTCACTCAGTCGCGTGGATTCGATCTTCCGACTGCTGGTCTTCTGAACCTGCAGCACAGGCTTCTGCGGTTTAGCCCGCAGCGCCACCACATCCCAAGTGTTTTCTAGCCCTCTCTTATTTGACCAGTCAGCAGTGTCATTACATTGGATTCATTTAAGGGCAAGATTAAGGTCTTTATTGGCAAAGTAGGGATGTGATGGGAATTCCAAAATGTCTAAATTTAAGAGTGGGTGATACCTTTCATTGGACCACTAAAGAATCAAATAAATTTCAAGCTTTTGTAGAGAAAAATCCCACATCTTCAGGCTTAGCATGGGACCATCATGCATAGTATGGACAAAGTACACAAGAATCCCAAAATGGGTGGTCTGTCAGAATTGACGTCAGTTCTCTTAGTCTGGGTTCTCAAGCCTCTTTGCAACATGGTTTGAAATTTAGGATCAAAAGGTTGCCAATTACTCTGTGATTGTCCCCCTCCCAAAGACATACTCACATTGCCTACTTTGAAACTCCGGTTTCTTTTTGAATGTGGGAGTGGAGAAAATACAAAGACATGGCAGCCCTTGGAACAAAGGGGTTATAATCTGGTTTATTCACCAGGTAGAAATAGCCAATTGTGCCAAATTAAAGTCTAAATATTGTTTCTATTTGGTGAGCATGAGATGTTTCTTCAGATCGTAGTCACCTCTGGCTGACGCAAAGAATCCACATGGTTGGTCTTCAGAGTCCACATTGTCTTCTATATGATGCTCTGTGTGGCCATTAATGGTATCTTATATAGCCCAGAACCCCTTCATGGATTGCTGCCTTGTCATGGTGAAGGGGTAATTCAGAGAAGCTATGGGCTATGCCGTGCAGGGACACCCAAGACGGACAGGTCGTAGTGGAGAGTTCTGACTAAACACGATCCACCTGGAGCAGGAAATGGCAAGACACTCCAGTATCTTTGCCAAGAAAACTCCATGACCAGAAACAAAAGGCTAAAAGATATGACGCTGGAAGATGGGACTGTCAGGTCGGAAGGCGTCCAACATGCTACTGAGGAAGAGCAGAGGACAAGTAACTCCAGAAAAAAATTGATGGGCTATGCATACTTATGTATTTATTAAAAAGGTAAACAGCAGATGAGATATAACACAATTTATTTAAGGCTTAGGAAGTGGTTGGTTTCTATACGTAAATCAAACTGCCCATAAGTATTAAACTAATGTCTTCTTTTTGGCTGAGGCTTCATCTTCTTTAACTTCATCAGTACTTTAAGGATCCAGGTCCTGTTGATTTGAGTGTAAAAGATGCTAAACGTTTCAGGAGGGGAGATTTGACAGGGCATGGGTGCAGGTAGACTATCCACTTTTTTAAAACCCTGATCAGTAGCACAGGTGGGGGGAGGGGAATTATCTCCATTGGCTGGCAGTGAGCCTTTGATGAATCCCAAGAGCAGCACTGGGCTAGGAAAAAATTATCCAGTGCCCTGCGTGCTAGAGAAAATATTGCACAGATTACAAGCCCTGGCAGAAATCCTAGACACCGTTGCACTTCTGTGCACATTTGGCTGCCTGCCTGGACATTCAGAAAGAGGATTTGATCCTTGGATCTGGGTTCCAATATTACATGGCTAATGGGAGCTTTACCCAGATTTGCAGCCCACCTATTTGGACTGCCGTTTCCAAAATGAGCTGGCCCAGAAGGGGTTCCAGACGCACAGACACACACCCAATAAAGGCATGTACGTTTTCTGTTTCTGGACTAAAATTCACAGAATTACTCCAGCAGCATTGTTGTCCGGGGAATTTGGGGAGTTTCATTCCAAAAGCACAAATCTGCACAGCAGTACAGGTTCCAACTGTTCCTACCCCACCTCTGTGAGACCACAATTAGCCTGGCCCTGCAATTTCAAGCAACGGGGTGTTATCCAGTAGCCGTGTTCAGCAGGATGAGGAAAATAGGGTTATCTTGATATTGTTGGGACTCCAATTCCCATCACCTCTGTCATATCCATATCTACTCGAAATAACCCCATTAAGCCTAGTGGGCTTTTTATCTTAATAGGCGGATCAAGAATTGCACCCTACGGCAGCAGAAATACAGAAAACAATTCAAACAAGGTTGTAGAATTTTCACTAATTCATTTATTGCTGACTGCTTTCCTCATTTATTCCCATGTAATGAAACTTTGTATGTACCATATGTTTCCATGTATAAGACACTACTTTTTCCTGAAATCGTTAGAGTAAACATTGAGGGGCATCTTTTACACAGAAGTAAGCCGAGGAGAAAACCACACAGTTGTAAAACTGCCCATGTCTCTGCTAACAGGCTTCCTCTAGTCACAAGACTTATGTAAATAACGTAAGCTGATGCGGAGGAGAGCATGTAGGCAGTATGACAGTGACCGGTAAAGATCACTGAGCCCATAAAGATGTCAGAAAATAAAAAAATACGGTAAGTGAATGTCTTACTCTGCAAAATTCAAACTGAATAATCAGTTATGCAAACGAGGCTGAATGAAGTGATTTGCTCAGCTAAGTGTGATGCATAATATTATATTTAAGGGTTTCCCTTGACAATTTGTCCAGTCGTGTCCGACTCTAGGCGGCAGTGTTCATCTCCATTTTCAACCCACAGAGCTAGCATTTTGTCCGCAGACAATCCTCTGTGGTCACGTGGCCAGCGTGACTAGACATGGAATGCTGTTTATCATAGTACTGGTATGTAAATATTGCCTAATTGCTAAAAATGTGTACCTTTCTAATGTTCAAAATACTGATTTCTGAATTTTGAGTTAGAAAATTGGGGGCATCTTATACATCTTATAAAGAGGTGCCTCGACCTATGAATGTCCCGACTTATGACCATTTCAAGTTGCGACTAGCTCTGGCTGCAAAATTTTGCTTTGACTTGCGGCTGGAGCTTCCAGTTATGAACAGAAAAAGGCAGGGAAAAAAGGCGGGGAATTCAAATTGCTAACTGTAGGTGGTGAAGAGGCTGGGTCTTTGTACCTCTTTCACCCCAGCAGTTAGAGTGTGTGTGATCGGAGGAGGCTTTGGACTGCCTGGTAAGGTAAGGTGCTGCTTTCTGCTTTTTGAAAACTGTTCTGGATGGGTTTTGCAGCGTAGGTTTGGGCTGGGGGGTTATGTTTCTGTGATATGATGGGTCTTGGGGGGTTTATTTGTTTTTTGGGTTTTCTCCCAATTTCCGATGGGTCTTGTGGGGTTTGGTTGCTTCCCCCCATTTCCGATGGGTCTTGGGGGTTTGGTTACTTTTTGGAGTTTTTTCTCTCCATTTCCAATGGGTCGTGGGGGGTTTGTTTGCTTTTTGGGTCCCCCCCCATTTCCGATGGGTCTTGCATGCTGCTTTCTGCTTTTTTTTTGCATTTCCAATGGGTCTTGCACGCTTTGCTTGCTTTCTGCTTTGCTTTTTTTTGCATTTCTGATGGATCTTGCAGTGATTTTTTTTCTTCAGCCGGAACGGATCAATTGCATTTCAATGCATTCCTATGGGAAATGGTGCTTCAATTTACGACCATTTCGAGTTATGACCGGAGTTCTGGAACCAATTAAGTTTGTAGTCGAGGCGTAACTGTACATGGAAAAATACGGTTCGCCGGCTTTTATTGCAATTTTAAATTTTTGCTCCAAAAATATATTAGAGCTTATTTTCAGGAGATGTTTTGTTTTTTCATGTACAACCATCTTCATTTATTCAAATACAGTCAATGTCATCTTCTGGTTGATGCACAATGTGGATGGTGGCGTTTCACTGAACTGGAGCTTATTTTGGGGTTAGGGCTTATATTATGAGCATCCTGAAAAATCATACTAGGTCTTATTTTCAGGTTAGGTCTTATTTTCAGGGAAATGTTATTACAAGGGGAAATTCAAGGGTGGTTTTTGAGAGGGCAGAATATGTGTCGGTCAGAGCTTCGATCCAATTTTTTCTATGACAAAATGAAACAGTTTCTATTTGCATTCATATGTTTGTTTGTTTATTTATCTATACATATACCCTCTTCTCATCCAAATTTCACAAAAGGTACTAGTAAAGATGACTTAATATACCACAATAGGATAAGTACATTCAATTCCGTGTAGAATTCAGCAAATATACTTGTAATAAAACAACAGTGGGTCAATTTAGTTTAGTATCATGCTGAGGGCTATTTCCAGTGTTCTTTTCTCTCCCTCCACCATTATTACACCTGAAAGCAGAGTAGGCAACTTATGGCCCTTCAGATACAACTTCAATACAGCAATATCTGAAAGACCACAGAGTGCCAGCCCTCTGCTTTCAAACGTATACATGCAGGAAAGCTGCCACAGAATTGGCCACCCATGATGGTTATACAAACATGAACTGTGGAGGAAGAGCCCTGTTTCTTTTGAAAACATGTATAACTGTAAGAATCCCAGATGAGTTGTGTGTGTGTGGGGGGGAGACAATAAATGCCCATGCACTGAAAACATGGGGGAAAGAAGGCCTCTCCCTCACAGTTACCCCCCAATTCCTCCTTGTGGGAGGGTAATTATGGGGGAGACATCCCTGTGGGTGGCCTCAGCTAGGTGGCAAGGAGAGTCACACATATTGTCATAGCAATCTATTGCTACAGAGAAGCTGGCAAAGAGAACGCAGCCTAGATTTAACAGTCACTTTGGATCTTCAACTCAGAACTTCCTTCTTCTGAAAATATTTTTTCCTTCAAAAACTCAACTGCCTCATTTGGCTTCATTTTTTGGAACGCAGGGTAATAAACCTCAATAGAAAAAGAAAAGAAAAAGAAAAAAATGTCAAAGTTCAACCTAATTAGAAAAGACGTGTAAATGAACACATCTGTCATCAGTAAGGCAACATTTAATCTAGTGGAACATTGAACACTACCCTATACCTAAAGGTTGTTCAACCCTCCTCTAAACAGACACAAAGGGAGACTTCAGTGTGAAATTGTCAAGTCAAACTGGGTCTTATCAGCTGTGGCCTGAATCAAGATAATGGTCTTTATCACACCCTGCATGTTTATTTCCTTACTAATGCCGGGACATTTGTGTCATTGTCAATACCACTGAAAAGAGCCACTATATTTATTTTACACAAACTAACATAACTATCAATCTGGTGCAATTTAACACCTCATACTTTACAATAACACAAGTATCAGTCTGTATTTGTCTCTATTTCATCGGCTTCTGATATCAGTGATTACTTCCCCCGACCCTTTCTACTCATGTATATACCCAGATACTGAAAACAACACTCCACAATTCTGCTGAAATGAGCTGCAGTCCACAAAATCACACAACATAATGCATTTGTTAGCTAAGGCTTCATTTTGTTGTTGTTGCAGTTAACAACCACACTAAAATATATTTCCCAGGATGAGTACATGCAAACCATATTCTAAAGTAATATAAACTTTGCCTCTTTATAATTTGTGCAAAGCCCTGGAATATATGAAGTCAAGTTTTAAAAACTAGCTCTTGTACCAGATTCTGATTACAATCTTTTGCTGGATTGTTGTTATTGCATGTATCATTATTATTATGTCTATTATTACACTGTTATCAATGTATATCTTAACATCCCCTTATTTACAAGACACCCGTCTTATTATGATTATTGAATGTGTTCCGTTTTCAGCTTGTGTCACAGGATGTTGTAATACCTCAATCCCATTTTATTTTCACTTACCAGGATCACCTGATATCCTAGAAGGCGTAGGTGCCTCATCTTCATTGCCAGGAAGCCGAGTGGATGAGTGGAGCCCATGCAGAAAGCATTCACATGGGGGCACAGCAGAGCTATCCTGTAACGAGCAATAGCAAAGACGTCTACTACCATAGCAATGCATACTGCACCAATGAGATATGTGTTGCAGTTTATCTGTTTATTGAAGTAAGGATAATAATGCTGAAGATCATTTGTTTGCTCTTTTGAAGACAAAATGCACAATTCTTCCTAAGTAGAGGTTAAAGTGCCAATGCTGTACTTTGTTACTTGCCTCCCTTCCCACATATATGTGTTCCATTCGCAAATCACTTTTACAAAGTGCTTCACTGAAAAAAAGGTACTTTATTATTCTTGAGTACAGGTACATCCAAGTCCTTCTGAACAGGATGTTAGGAGTCAAGGGCTCATATACAGTGGTGCCTCGCAAGACGAATGTAATTCGTTCCATAAGAAGCGCTGTCTTGCGAAAAAATCATCTTGCGATGTTCCCTAGGGGAACCTTGCAAGACGAATGAATTTTTTCATCTTGTGAGGCATTGGTCTCACAATCGATCGCAAAAAACAATTGTCTTGCGGGTTTTTCGTCCCGTGAGACACCATATTAGGTAGGGAAAAACGAGGAGGAAATGGAAACAGCAAGAAGAAACAGCCCCACCGCATCCTCAGCCATCTGGAAAACTATTGTCTTTGCAACTGCGAACATACAGGAGTTTCGATCCCTGTCTAACTCGGATTTGTTCGAGTATAAATATGCTTGCCATGGTAATCCTACAAGGAACCAGACATATCCAATCTGGTGTATAACTTAATGACACACACATTTTAAAATGTCTTTGTTTCTTTGGTTTCTAACCAAGACATGCAAGAAAGAAAATTCCATAGCATCTTCTTTGATAATGCACAGATCAATCAACTTTGTCTTGCCCGGAGCAAAAATCTTTGTTTACTCAAAAGATTGCATCCTGCCCTTAAATGCAAGCACTTTTAAGAGAGCTACCAATATATTTTTAAGGCCAATTGAAGCAATATGAAGAAAAATGCACTACTACCAGCAGATAAAATCAATAATCTATTTTTTTAAAGCCTGGTAAAAGGAAACCTGCACCTTGTGTTCAAATGACAAAAGTGGGCATCAGACAGGACTCCTCCCTAGGAGAACTCCATAAGCAAAGTGCTGCTGCCACCCTTCCTCAAAAGGCGCTCTTAGCAGCTTCCACCCCTAAAGGATGGAGCACCAAAAGAATACTTTACAATATGGGCAGGGACATATGGAAAAAGAGAGTCCCTCGTGCACCGACACCCGACAGTGCACTTTGTTAAAAAAAATGCATGGACCAGGACTTAGAACTGAATTTAGATGCAGGAGATCAAACAACTTTCTTCTCGTTCTCGCCACAATGCCATCTAAAAACCTACTCCAGGGCTCTCACCAGCCCTCTGGAGGAAGTTTTGAGGGCATATAGTTGTCCTGTTTATATTCAGCTAATCACAGAACATACACAGATATTGTCTTCCTGTAATTTAAATCAGCAGGGCCAATACTACAAAATGATAAGAAGGCTACCTGAGACCAGGCATATGTATCCAGAACAGTCCCTTTGCTGCACCTTAATGACTTTGAATTAATGAGTATCCCAGTGTATAGAAGAATTTTAGGAGATTCTACTCAGCATAGGCAATCAAGTAAAGACAAAATTCAGATAAAGAGTGCCATAAAGCACTCCAAAATGGTCAGACTCTGCTAAAAAGACTTTGTAACAAAATCTGACCAGCATTCTGAAATACACAGACCAATACTCTCTGCAAGTAATATTAAATATACTGTACATATTTTTACAGGCTAAGCAGCTCAATAGCAGCAGTTGGAAAAATGTCCACCAAAACAGCAAATTAGAGAAAACCTATATTCAGGAAAAGGTACCTTTTAATGTTAGGATCATCTGTCAAGTGATCTTTCTGTGTGTTTGGCACCACTGTTTTCCGATCTGCATCCATTAAGATTTGAAAATCTGAAAAACAAAAGGAGATAAAATGCGACTGTGCCATACTGAGGCAGTAAAATAAAACTGGAGTGATTCAGTGAAATGTTACACCAAAGTAATAAAATTAATACATTTTTCACCCACTAATAAAAGCAACTACAACTCTCAATACCATCAGGTTTATATGGAAAAGAAGTGCATGGCTTTAATCTGTACCAGGGACCAACCCGGGCTCTGTTTCCAGTGGAAGATAAGACCCTGGAAGATAAGAAGTCCAAAAAAATAAAGGGGTTTCCCACCATGTTCAGAGTGGATCCCTTCCTATATAATTAGAAACAATGCTTTACACAACATGGATTGTGAAGGTGGACAAGAAAGTTCAGCTCATAGGAAGCTGGATCCAGATTTTGGTCACAAAAGCTGAAATCCTGTTGGTGTAATTATGCCTGTGGAAAGTTGAAGACATCAGCAGCAGGTATGATTTTTCAGCAATTAAGAATTTCCAAATTCTGTCCCAAAGTTCTTAAGGCTCCTACCTAATCTCTAATTTCAATCAGACTTTGTGCTGGATGCAGCACTCACTTGTCCTGGAAGTGACACTTGGCCAATCCGAACTACAAACATTGCAACAGTTTTTTCTTCAGCATTTAGGAGCAGAACCATCAGAAAATAAGCTTCTGTGTACTGATATTAAACCCAGGGCTACTATAGTGGAGAATGAAAAAGTATTTTTTCATATCATATACTGATAGAGCATTTTCAACAACACTTCATGAAATATATTTCCTCCTTTTTTTCTTTTTCTTTTTTTAAATGAAACTGACAAAAAGAGAGGTTACCTACCTGTAACCATGGTTCTTCAAGTGGTCCTCTATGAATCCACACAATTGGGTTGTTCTGTGCCTGCGCGGGACCTCTCGGAAGTTTCTAGAGAAAGCATGTGATTAGTGGGACATTCCCCCATGGAGCGCATGCTCCTCCTGCCCGAAGTCTCCTCAGTTCCCAAAGTCCGCCGCTGTCAGAGAGTAGACTGAGATGACAACGTGACAGAGGGGACGATGGGTGGGATGTGTGGATTCACAGAGGCCCACTCGAAGAACCAGAGTTACACATAGGTAACCTCTCTTTCTTCTTCGTGGTCTCTGTGAATGCACACAATTGGGTGAGTAACAAGCTCACTTACTGGATGGTGGGTCGTCACGCCAGGAAGGAAGTCAGGATAGCCCTGCCAAAGGCTGCATCATTCTTAGATCGGATGTCCACACGATAATGGGAGATAAAGGTTGATGGAGTTGACCATGTGGCAGCACGACAGATGTGTGAAACGTCACTGCTGCGTTGAAAAGCAGTAGACATAGAGGCTGCCCGGGTGGAATGGGCCTTGAGGGTCTCAGGTGTTTTGCCTGCTAGTTCAGGGATATTGTCTGTACAATCCATCAAGACAGAATTTGAGGTGATGCTGATAAGCCCTTATGAGGACCATGGAAGCATATGAAGAGTCTAGGAGATTCTAGAAATGATTTATTCCTGTCAATGTAAAAGGCCAAAGAATGTCTGACATCGAGTGTGGGGAGCATGCACTCAAGATTCGTCATAGGAGATTAGAACAATGATGGAAGTACCAATGGTTGATTCACGTGAAACTCAGACACAACTTTGGGTAGAAAGAAAACATCTGGATACAGAGTGACTTTATCAGGATGGAACTGTATTTATAGTGGGTCTGACCTGAGGGCTGAGAGTTCACTAGCCCGTCTGGCTGATGTAATAGCAACTAGGAATAAGGTTTTTAAGAAAGAAATTTGAAGTTAATGGTGGCCATAGTTTCAAATGGGGGTTGAGTGAGGGCACGAGTTGTAGTGAACACTATGGTAGAAGGGGGCGCTGAGGTGGGCTGATGTTACAAAGGCCTTTAAGAAAGTTCTTTAACGTTGGGTGAGAAAAAAAGTCAAACTGAGTCAGAGTGAGATGGCTGGTGTGCTACGATGGCGGCAATGGGATAGTCCACAGTGAAAAAGATTTAAGAGAAAGGTAAGTAGTGTTTGTAATGAAACCGGTGATGTTGAAAGGTTCTTGGAAGCAGCAAAGGATGAGAATGTTTTCCATTTTTGATTATAAAGAAGTTGTGTAGAAGGTTTTCTGGCTCTGTCAAGGATAGCTATGGTGGGAGAATTCTCCATGCTGTAAGGTTGAGGGATTTGAGGTCTGGGTGGTGAACAGTGCCATTGTACTGTGTTAGCAGGTGTAGAATGGATGGAAGGTGAAACTGGTCTATTGATAGTTCCTTCAGATGGGTGAACCATGGTTCACCATGGAGCAATGAGTATTGCGTTGGAGTGAGACTGGCGGAGTTGTATTACAATTCACTGGATTAGCGGGATGGGAGGGAAAAGGTACAGAAGGTCCCTTGTCCAGTCTACCATAAAGGCGCCTCCTAGAGACCCTGTGCCCTTTCCTGCTCAGAAGCATTATAGGGTGCACTTTGCATTTTGTAGAGTGGGGAAGACGTCTACGGTAGGCGTATCCCACCAACGGTTGCAGAGCGGGGTGAAGACAGTATCGTCTAGAACCCATTTGTGCATCGACGTGATGAGTCAGCTGAGATGGTCTGCCAATAAATTGTTGTCCGTGTGCTACTGGAAAAACATGGTGGGTACAGCACCATTCCCTGAGCTGTACCGCTAGATAAAGCAGGGACAGAGAATGTGTGCGACCTTGCTTGTTGACACAGAATAGCGTTGTAGTGTTTTTTGTGGTGAGTTGAACCACCTGACATGTAATTAGTGGTCGAAAGGCGCGAAAAGCTTTGATTATGGCCAACAGTTCTAGAAGGTTGATGTGAAGAAGTCTTTCTTTTTTGAGACCACAGTGCATAAATTTTTCAACCTGGACAGTGGGCTCCCCATCCTGAAGGGCTGGCGTCTGTGGTGACCTGGACTGTAAGCTGAAGGGGAGCGAACGGTCAGCCGACTAGGAGGTTCAGAAGGAAAGTCCACCAGGTGAGTTGTCGAGAAAGTTCCCTCGATACAATGAGGCATTTGAAAGGAGGTTCCATCATAGGGTCGAAGAGGGAGAAGAACCAAGATTGTAGGGACCTCATCTTGAGTCTTGCATGTTGAATGACTGCTGTAGTGGAAGCCATGAGCCTGAGCAGTCTCGATAAAGGCTTCAATGCCAAGATTGATTTCGGTTTCAAAGATTTTTAATGCTCCTTTTCTCTTGGAGCTGGTGTTGTTGGGCTCGAGATGGAGCGAGTTGGATCTTGTTGAGGAGCTGGTGGTGAAACCGCTTCTGATTCCATTGGAACAGCAGGTGGGTGAAGAGATTTTTCCCAAATGTGAGATCTAAGACGGTGTAAGCGAAGTATTAATGTAGAGTTTTTTACACTCTGAACAAGAGTGAGTTTGGTGTTGTTTCCCGAGGCAGAAGAGTCGTGCCCGCCAGAAAGTGGGATTTTATTTGTGCAGAGCATACATCACTTAAAC